GCCGTTTTACTCATTTGTCGAAAAAGAGAGAGAGAGAGATGGATTTACGATGAAAATTTAAAAAAATAACGTGGCATTAGATGATTTATAAATTCACTCTTAAATAAACTGTATCGGGGAGTGCGGGGGAGGGAAAAAGGCGGGAAAATTATTTCGAATTCGAAAAAATAAATAAATAAAAGTTTTCGATGCCATTTTTTTTCTTAATTTTTTTTTTTTTTTTCAAATTAAAAATTTTTTTCTTCTTTTTTTTTTTTTTTTTTTTTTTTCTAATTTCCCTTTCCACGAATTCTAGAAAAACTTTTATTGATGTTTTTTTTTTTTACTTTCAACTTTTTTTTAAAAAAAAAAAAAAAAAAAAAAAAAAACTTTTTGTTGTCTTATCCAACAAACAACATCGACTTCTTTTTTTTATTTATTTGATTCCCTATCATAATTAAACGTTTCAATAAAACTATCATTATTATTATTATGTTATAACGACGACATGTATATGTATATTTTTATTATTTAAAAAAAAACTCGATATTTTCATTAAATGTAATATAATTAATTTAATTAAGTTTATCACACACACACACACACACATAAAATTTTCTCACGCCTACGACAAATTATCACGTGTAACGTGTGAAATTGTTACGTATATGAAATGTTTTGCGTTATCATATCACACACCCTTTTATCAAAATACATTTTTAATAAAAATACCTTTAATAATAATAATAATAATAATAATAATAATAATAATAATAATAATAAAAGTTGGAAAACATAGAAAAATCGTAAAAATCAACCACTCACTCCCCTTCCCCCTTTCCTCTCCTTTACCCTCCCCACCTCTCTTTCCCCCCAGAAAAAAAAAATTCCAATAAGGAAAACATATTTTTTCTTATATTTTTTTTTCATGTTTTTAACTCATTAAAATACTAAAAAAAAAAAAAAAATCTAAAAATATATTACAAGACTGAAAAAAAATTTTTTTTTTTACAAATTTTATTTTAATTCGAATATAAATATGTAATTATTACCTTTTAAGTAATTAATAATTTTAACACACACGAAAGTGAGAAAAAAAAGGAAAAATTTTGTGTTTGAATGTGTGTGTGGGTGTTTGATTAATTATTTAAGTGTGTGTTGTGTGTGCTTGTTTGTTTGTGTGTGTGTGTTGGTTGTTTGTGTAAGTGTGTGTGTTTGCTTCTGTGTGTTTGTTTGTATTTGTATGTGTAAGTGTGTGAGTGTTGTGTGTGCTTGTTTGTTTGGGTGTGTAAGTGTGTGTGTTGGTTGTTTGTGTAAGTGTGTGTGTGTTTGCTTCTGTGTGTTTGTTTGTATTTGAATGTGTAAGTGTGTGTGTGTTGTGTGTTGGTTGTTTGTGTGTAAATGTAAGTGTGTGTGTTGGTTATTTGTGTGTGTTTGTGTGTGTGTGTTTGCTTGTGTGTGTAAGTGTGTGTGTGTGTGTGTTGTGTGTACTTGTTTGTTTGTGTGAGTGTGTGTGTTTGCTTGTTTGTGTACTTGTTTGTTTGTGTGTGTGTTTGTAAGCACGAGGAATTTTCATTTCCTTTCGTTATCATTTACATATTCGTATACAATAAAACTTAACGTAAAAAAAAAAAAATAATATTAGTTTGAATTAAATTTTGATAAAAAAAAAAAAAAAAACTTACTTTTTTTTCCAGGGCATATTTTTTTTCACTAAATAAAAATAATATGATGAAATAATATGATAAAATAATGATGATGACGACAAACACAAAAACGACGACGTAAACACTTCGATATCAGTTATTTATATTTATCATTTTAAAATAAAAAATTCTTTTTTTTAAATTAAATTTTAATTCGTAACGGTTTTTTTAAGTCGTTCGATTTTTTTAAATTTAATATCACACACGACAATAAGTAATAATTATATTACATTAACGGATTTGTATCATTATATGTGTGTTTTATTCAAATCGAAAATAATAAATTATTTAATGGGGAAAAAGCAAAATATTTTATGAAATTGTATAAAATTCCATCACGTATTAAAACATTATAACACCGAAAACTTTTTATTAACGTTAAAAATTTTTTAGAATAAGTTTTACACACTATGCACAATAAACACATAATTAAATGAATTATACGAAAACGCGTACGATATAATATATATATATATATAACGAGTTTTTATTAATTATAATAAATTATTATTATAATTGCATAAAATAAAATCAATTATAAATAATATAAAAATTTTGTAAAACACAAATTTTCCCCTTCACGATAATAATATGGAAATGATGTAAAAAAAAAAAAAAGAAAGATGGCGGCACTGGAAAACGTTTCTTTTTCCCTCTTGCTTTATCCTGTTGGCGTTATTTAATCTTTCTCTTTTTTTGACCCACAATCTAAAATTTTACTTTTTTTTTTTTTTTTTTTGTATCCCCTCCTTTTCCCTTATCGTGAATGTATGATATTTTCTTTTCATTACTTTTTCATATAGTTTTATTATTTTAACATCAACGATTAAAACGAATTTAAAAGAAACAAAAAAAACTTAAAACTTTAACGACGAAATCTTTCAATCAACTTTTTTGTTAATTTTATCAAAAAATCTGTTCAACACGTCCAAACAGTAAAGCGGACGGTGTTGCCAACTTTGAAAAAAACAAATTTCCTTTACAACCCTCAACTTACAATTTTGTCCGTTAGGGTTTTGTTGTTTACAAAATGGCGCGTAACGTTCGCGTGAGTGTGCGTGTGTTTGTACATTTTTTTTCTTTTCGTTTTTCTTTTATTATTTAAAAACATTCGTTTTGTGTAAAATAATCGTTTGTTTTATTTTAAACCCGTTAAATATTTAATATTATTACATTTGATATTTAATTTATTTTATACGATTTTTAAACAAATTAAAATAAAAATTTTGTTTGGTTTTCCCTATCGTACGTTAAATTTAAACAAACAAATCGATTAATTTATTAATAATTTTCGATTATTATTATTATTATTAGTTATAAATGTAGTTTTTCAACCTTTTTTATGTTATTTTACGTGGTGTGATCAATCACGTAGTATCACGTTGATTATTTATCCATGATTAAATTTGTCTTTACATTAACTTGGTATTGCGTGCAAGTTTTTCCATCATCATCATCATCATCATCATGATTTTTTTTTTTTTACATGATTTTGTCCGGTAATTTTTAAAATCATTTCGTGACTGATTTAACTCAACAAAAATTAACCCTAAATTGACCTTAGTGTGTAAAAGGTTTGTGTTAATTATTATTACAAACTAATTTTTTTTTGTTGTATAATCTAAATTAAAATTAATTATAAACAAATGATGTTTTCCTTAATTATTATTATTATTTATTAATATTTCTTTTTGTTTACAGGTTTTGCAAGAGGTAACACATTCGAATTGAAGAATAAATTTTAAAAAAAAAAATTTTGTTATGAAATATATATATTTCAACAAAAAAGAAAAACAATAAATGTGTAAAGTAAGTAAATTTTTATTTTTTTAATATAACAATATTTATATATTATATATATTTATAATGAACAAAAAAAAAGATGATTTTACAATAAATAAAAAAAAAAAAACAAAAACAAAAAATTTTTAAGCAATAGTTAATAATAATATTAATAATAATAATAATATTAAATTCAGAGAGTATACATATTTTTAATTTTTCAACAAAAAAAATTAAATTTTTTATTTTTTTAATGGTTGCATTTTATAATTTAAATAATTCCCTTTTAAATAATATATTAAATTCATAAATAATAATAATAATTACCGGAAATAAAAAATATAATCGATATTTAAAAAAAAAAAAAAAAGCCATACAAAAATTATTCATTTATGGGAAGCTCGCCTTTTTTTTTTTGGTTAACGACCGTTAAAAAAAAATAATAATAATAATAAATTATTTTGAATAATTTTTATTAATATTATTATAGTTATTATTATTATTATTATTATCAATTTTAACGAATCTTTATTACAAAAATCGATTGTGCGCAATTAAAAAAAAATTATTCAAACGTGCGTTGAACAGATTTATATTATTTTCAATATATATATATATATATTATATAAATCAATTATTGCGTAGTGTGTGTGTAAAGGGTATACACCCTTATTTAAACATTTTAAATGAAATTTTATGACGTCATAAAATTTTATAACAACCTATCAATAATAACACTATTATTTACACCAAAAATTTTCATAACAAAAACTATTATAAAACTTTCCAACACGAGGAGTTGTGAATGTGGCGGGAAGGGGGGGGGCAACAACGGTATTTGCAAATTCTATTTTTCAAAAAACAAACCGGGAAAAAAATTTCAAAATTTCATAAAACGTAAAAATGACTAGCAAAAAATTATATAATAACTCATTATATACTAACGCCATTTTTTTTCCAATTTATTACTTTTATGGCACGAGTAATACCAAAAAAAAATCAATTGGCACAAAAAAAACAAACTAAAAGAAAAAAAAGCCACATTTTTAAATTATTTAAATAAATAAATAAATATAAAGATACGTGCAAATTCAAACTGTATTAATAATCTTCCCCGTGAAAGTTTATTTAACATTTTACTTTTTTTTTTTTTTTCCAAAACTTAATTATTATAAAATGCAACCGCGCAAAATAATTCGAAAAAATTTTTCATTTAAATGCAAATACTTAAATACTGAACGAAATACATAAATCAATAAATTTTCGTTTGTACCAAAATACTCATTGGAATGTATAAGATTCGACAAAGACGGATTAAACGATTTTTCTTTTTAACGACTAAAAACAATTATAAACTATCAGATCTTTTGTTTTTTCAAATTTTTCACTTCGGTAATATTATTATATAAATAGCAATAACAACGAAAAAAAAAAACCATAATAATAATAATAGTAATAAAATCGGCAGTCAAATGATTATTGCAAATTTTTTTAAATTCATTATCGAATAATGGGTAGTAGTATTGATTGTACTTATGACGTGGTTTGAGATCCTTGATTAGAATTTATTTTCTGATTGGTCGAACGTTTGCTACCTGGATTTTGTAAATCTACTTCCGTCCATGCTCGAAGACACTGTAAAATAAAATAAAATAACAAAATTTATCAATCCGTATGTAGGGGGGTTTCCCCCACGACAGATTCTTTATTATTATTATTATTATAATTGTCACCTGTTCGTAATGACTTATGTGCAATTCTGCAAAATTAATCAATATTTTTTTCAATTCAATTTTTTTCTCTTGATTCCACCTTTCCAAATCGGATCTTATATTTTCATTTGCTATTTCTAACTTGTCACGAGCTTCCTGCGAAAACAAACAAATCAACCGTGAATGTATTTTTGTTAAACAATTAATGTATTTTGATTTAGAAAAATTTATATATATATACTTCGACTTGTTGTTGATATTGCGGTATTATTTGATTTAATTTTTCCAATTTTTCATTTCTCGTTTCGATCGATGATTTTGCCCATGATTTTAATATGTTACGATCGATGGCTTCCGCTTCCAATTCTTCCTTTTCCAATCTTTTCCTTTGCAAATTGTCCAATTGATAAAGATAATTTATTTCTATATTGTCTCTATTGTCCAAGGCTTCTTTTATTGCATCGATATATAATAAATATTCTTTAATAGGCTGCAAAAAAAAAAAAATATTTAAAAAATCTCATTATGTTTTTCCGGAAATGACTGACGTCTCGGACGACAACCATTTAAAAACTCTCTCTCTCTATCTCTCTCTCTCACACACGCACACTTACTTGAATTAAAACAAAATTTTCATTATTGAGAAGAACGTTTTGAAGGCTTTGTCTTGTTTTGTCAATCGCATTTGCCATTTCGCAAAGTGGATCCGTTAAATCGCTTTCCGAACCCGCCCAATATTGAAATATCGATTTGAGTTCTGTCAAATCCGAAAATTCCTCTGATGAAAAACAAAAACAAAAAAAATAGAAAATTTAAAATATCTCCAAGACGAAGAAGAGGAAGAAGACATTTCCGGTACGATAATGACGTCATCACGTTTAATTGTTACATTTAAATGTATAATTAATTCCCAACGCACCCGTTCTCTCTTTGTGTATCCTTTGGGATATTTTACAAATGTGAGATAATTTATCCGGGAGAAGAGTCAAATATTCATTGAGTTTATTTAATTCTGGAGAACGTCTCGCTTCGATGTACATCGTCGACAAATTATTTATGGAATCGGAAACTTTCGACAATAAACTACTAGCCGTGAATTTTTTGTGTCTTTGAAATTCCTGGCGCAAAAAAAAAAAAAAAAAAACAGATAAATAATAACAATGACAATAACAATGGTAATAATAAATGATGCTTTAATTTTAATTTAAACAAAATTATTATTATTATTATTATTTGTTAATAAAAACGTCACGTGAGTGATAATTTGTTGTTGTTTCTTACACTTAAACGATAAAATTTCAGACAAACATTTAACAAAGGAAAAAACTAAAACGACAAAATAATGTCGACATTTGTTTTTTAAAAATTGTTTTAAGTAAAAAATAAAAAGGGAGGCCATTATTTATCGTCATTAGCATATATTAGATGTCTAAAAAAAAAAAAACATTTAAATTGAATTACAAAGAAGTTTGATAAAAATTCGTCTGTTTAATACAAAAACAACATAATTAAATTAGCATATTAAATCTAAAAAAAATTTTTTTTTAAAAAGTAGTTTTATTTACCTCATTTGTTGCAGTCAAAAATATTCTAAATCCAGTAGAACAACTTAATATTGGATGTTTGACTAGCCTAAATAAAAACGATTGAAGTCCAGTCATTCTCGTGTTGACAAATTCTTTTCCATATCGATCTAATTGTTCTATCAAACTGTGCTTTACTGGTAAAGGCTGAAAAATTATCATTATTATCAATTCTGATTAGTTTTTTTTTTTTAAATTATCAAACAAGATATGGTTAAATACATACAGGCACAAAATGTGTTGGATATTCAGCGACAAGATTTTGTCTCAACCATACAAAATCATTATATCTTCTCTTGACGCAATAATTATTCGTTTTAAATTCAGGTCTTGTCGTTTTTGTTGTCACTCTGAATGTTATATATGTATCTAATAAATCAAAATGTTTTTCAGGACTATCTATTTTAACTACCAAATCATGCATATCTTCGCTCAGGTTTAAACTTGCTTCTCCCTCTGGTAGAGTTGAAAAACTTTCAATCGATGGTGATGCAACCTAAAACAATCATTTTAAAATAATTATTTGTAACAAAAATAAACGGTAAAAAGACATAAAATTAAATTATATTTGACTGACTATATAAACTGTCGACGTCACGTTTTTTTTTTTTTTTGACAAGTGTCAAAATACTTTTTGAAAAGGTTAAGAAGAAAAAATTTAGGATTTAAAAGAAAATTTTAAATAATAATAATAATAATATTTTTAATTACCACAGATCCTTCGGGAGAAAAACTTTGATTTGTCGTGTTACTATCAAAATCTAACGTTTTACTCGTTATAATTGAATCTCCTTTATCGGTTTCTAAATTTTCACTATTTTCACATTCCAATGATTCCGCCATTTTGGTATTAAAGATTTAAATCCACGTGATTTTTTTTTTTTGATAACACAGACACAATTCTAAAGAATTAAAATAAATTATTATTATTATTAATAATTAAAAATTTAATTTTTCTTTATTCCCCTCCCCAATTAAAAAAAAAAAATTTAACATTTCCACATTTTTATGAAAATTTAAAAAAAAAAAAAAAACAGTCCTTTCATTAAAATTTAATTTTCATATCAAAAATATTCATAAAAAAATTTTTATGTTAAACTTAACGGACAATTGCTTAATTTAAATAATATTAATAAAATAAAATTTAAAAAAGAATAATAATAATAACTTTAACATAAAATTTTAATTAAATTAAACGTTAAAAAAAAAAACAAAAATTAATTAATTAATTAAATTTACGTTATTAAAAATAAATATATATATATATATATATATATGTGATATTTTTTGATAAATTTTTTTTTTTATTTAAATACAAATGATCGTAATGCGATTTCGAAAATAAATAAATAAATAAATAATTACTACGAATTAAATAATTAAATAATTACACGTTATGTAAAAAAAAAAAAATTAAATAATTTATTTTACAAAAAAAAAAAAAAAAAATTTAAATTTTTTTAAAAACTGAATACATCATATTGCAGTGTAACGCGTAACTTGTTTTTTTTTTTTTTTTTTTTTTCTTCCTTTCATAACTAAATACTATGACGTTAATAGCGCCCCTATCGGAAATTTTAAAAATTTCATAGACGTATAATAAGTACTAATATGGCGAATTTTTATAGTTAGAATTAAACATCAATATATAATTTAATTTTTTTTTTTTGGTTTTTTTTTTTTTTTTTTTTTTTTTAAAATGGGTTGTGGGGGTTGTGGTTATTATTATTATTGGCGTTCTTGGAATTTTAATCGGGAAAGTTATAATTTAAAAAAAAAAAAAAAAAAAAAAAAATTAATTAAGGGGGCCAAAAAAGTTAAAAATTATAATTAAAACGAACAAAGTTTTTATTAATAAAATATTTCGAAAAAAATCGAGGTAAAAAAAATAAAATTCCCTAGGTCAGGTTAAAACCCTGACAACCCTTCCCATATTTACCAAATAATTATTCGTTTATGTTACATCAAACTCGAAAATTTCTTTACATACAACTTATTATTTCTTTGGTTAATTATATGAAATTTAATTTAACGACGATGTTTTTTCGAACCCATTTTTTTTTTTTTTTAATTGTAAATAATAAAATTTTTATTTAGTTTTACATAATTATCAAAAGAAATGATGTGTATAATTTATTGTTTTTCCGATCAGCTGGAAATCCTTTGATTTAACTTTCCTGAGCGACCTTGCTTGTTGAGGGTCAACGATCTTTGTATGTTTTTTTTTTTTAATTTCTTTTATTTTTTTTTTTTTTTTTTATGTGATTATTAAAAAAAAATAAATAAATAAATAATATAAAAAGATAATAAAAATAAAACAAATAAATTAAATAATAAAAAAAAAAAAAAAAAATTTAATTAAAGTTACGAATAAAATTTCAAAAGGAAAAAAGTTATTTTTTTTAAAACAATAATTAAATTTTTCTTAATTATATTACTTATCAATTAGGTAAAACATAATTAATTAATTAATTGTTTAAAAAATAAGTTATTTAATTATAAAATATGGAAAAAAAAAAAAAGTTTTTGTTTTTTGGAATGATTTCGAGTTTCAATCTATTAATACACATTTAATTTGTTTACTTGGTTTTTTTTTTACATCTCGAAACCATTTTTT